GAAAATTTCAGCCCTAGAGTTTGGCAAAGTTAAAAGCAACTGAAGATGGGTCTTATAAATGGAAAGTTAGACTATCTTAACTATAGATGTTGCTGCCAGCTTCACCTATAACACACGCAACCTGCACAAAGCACACAAATGAGTTTTCGGAAGGATGCAGTGTAATATTAGGTTTCAGATTATATTAAACTGTATGCTTGACATGCAGATTACATGGAATAATTTAATACCACATTCCTTGTTTCAAATTTGACTCTAAAATCTGAAATTAAGTCAGCAGTGACCAAGAAACAAGACTCATCTTTATCTATAGACTACAACTGCAGAATGGGATAGAATTTTATATTTATAATTCAATATTTTAGGATAGCCCTATTATAACAGATGAACAAACTCGGCTTGTGACATATACCAAATTTATGTAACAGGAATCAGTACAGTTTGACCTTTCTGAACCAAGACAAAACCTAACTATATTCAGCTTATGGGTCTTTCAATTTCTACATAAAGAAAAAGTGAGCTATGGCTGATTCAAGATCATGCTGAATATCAGCTACAGCTTGATTATAGTTCACCCTTGGGTTCAGTTCAGAATGGCCCTGGCAAAAACGAAGACAAAAATCACAGCTGATATTAGATGAATTCTTGTTCTAGAATAGCAGCAGACATAAAAGTTTTCCTATTTAACCACAAACCTAGAAAAGTAAGCAGACCACCAAGGGATTTAATTGACCCAGTCATGCTGTAAGTATTAGGAAAACAAAGGGCTACTGGTGTTTTGATGAGAGGGGGGAAGAGAAAGAGAAAGGACCTGAGACACACCAGGGAAGAATAATAGAATTGTAGGACTGGAAGACCATAATGTAAGAACATAAAAATGGCCATATTGGGTCAGACCAAAGATCCATCTAGCCCAGTATCCTGTCTTTTGACCGTGGCTAATACTAGGTGCTTCAGAGGGAATGAACAGAACAGGGAATCATCAAGTGACCCATCCCGTCGCCCATTCCCAGCTTCTGGCAAACAGAGGCTAGGGACACCATCCTTGCCCATCTTAGCTAACAGCCACTGATGGACCTATCCTCCATGAATTTATCTAGTTCTTTTTTGAACCCTGTTATAGTCTTCGACTTCACAACATTCTCTGGCAAGGAGTTCCACAGGTTGACACTGTGTTGTGTGAAGAAATACTTCCTTTCGTTTGTTTGTTTTAAACCTGCTGCTTATTAAAGGGACCTCAATAGATCTTCTAGTCCTGTCCCCTGCACTCTAAGCACACAAAGTAGGACCCCTAGATCAGGGGTTCTCAAACTTCATTGCACTGTGACCCCCTTTTGCCAACAAAAATTACTACATAACCCCAGGAAAGGGGACCAAGCCTGAGTCCCACCACCCTGGGCAGGTGGGGGGGGGGAGCTCAAGCCCCAGGCCTTCAGCGCAAGGCAGGGGGCTTGTAACTTGAGCCCTAATGCCCATGGCTGAAGCCCTTAGGCTTCAGCTTCAGCCCCAGGTGGTGGGACTCAGGCTTCAGCTTCAGCCCCGGGCCCCAGCAAGTCTAAGCCAGCCCCGGCAACCCCATTAAAATGGAGTTGCGACCCACTTTGGGGTCCTGACCCACAGTTTGAGAACCACTGATCTAGACCATCCAACAGGTGTTTGTCTAACCTGCTCTTAAAAATCTCTAACATCCCTAAGCAATTTATTCCAGTACTTAACTACCCTGACAGTTAAGAAGTTTTTCCTAATGTCCAACCTAAACTGCCCTTGCTGTAATTTAATCCCATTGCTTCTTGTCCTATCCTCAGAGGTTAATGAGAAAAAATTTTCTCCCTCCTCCTTGTAACAACCTTTTATTTACTTGAAAACTGCTATGTCATTCCCCCCACAACTCTCCTCCCATAGGTCTTCTCTTCTCCAGAAAAACAAACCCAGTTTTTTTTCAATCTTCCCTCATAGGTCATGTTTTCTAGACCTTTAACCATTTTTTGTTGCTCTTCTCTGGACTTTCTCCACGTCTTTCCCTGAAATATGGTACCACTGGACACAATACTCTAGTTGAGGCCTAATCAGCACAGAGTACAGCAGCAGAATTACTTTTTGTGTCTGGTTTACAACACTACTGCTCATACATCCCAGAATGATGTTTGCTTTTTTTGCAACACTGTTACACTGTTGACTCAAATTTAGCTTGTGATCCATTATGATTATTTACTTCAGACGATTTCTCCGGTTTGTCCAGAAGATTTTGAATTTTAATCCTATCCTCCAAAGCACTTGCAACCCCTCCCAGCTTGGTATTATTCACAAACTTTATAAGCGTACGCTCTATGCCATTAGTTAAATCAGTGGTTTCCAAACTTTAACAGCCCGCGAACCCCTTTCGCTAAATTGTGAAATCTCATGAACCCCCTCCTAAAAATGAATATTTCAAGGGATTTAAGTTTAAATTTCCTCTGCACTCCGTGGGGCTCCTGCTGCTGGACCCCGTTGACCGCCCCAGTCAACTGAGCTCCACTGAGCTTGGGCTGCAGGTCCCACTGACCGCCGGGGCTCAGGCTGCCAGCCCCAACTGCCCGGCCCCTCTCTCCCTGGGGCTTAGGCTGCCAGCCCCAGGCGGAGAGCTGGGGTTTGGGCGGCTGGCTACTCCACTGATGGGGGCAGGGCTTGGGCTACCAGCCCCAACTGCCCGGCCCCGCTCTCCCTGGGGCTTAGGCTGCCAGATCCGTGTGGAGTGCTGGGGTTCAGGCGGCCGGCTCCCCCACTCATGGGGAAGGGCTCAAGCTGAACTGCCCTGCTCCTCTCTCCCTGGAGCTCAGGCTGTCTGTCCTGCAATCGGGTCCCACCTGTTGCCTCCAATGCCCAGGGTCCTCTGGCTGCCATTAGTGAAATTTTTCTGGCCAACGCGCTGTAACGTTCTGCGAACCCCCAGTTCGGGAACCACTGATCTAAATCACTGATGCAGATATTGGAGAACAGAACCCAGAACTGATCCCTGAGGTACCCCACTCATTATGCCCTTCCAGACTGACTGTGAACCACTGAAAACTACTCTCTGGAAACAGTCTTCCAGCCAATTTGGCACCCCACCTCATAGTAGCTCCATCTAGGCCAGTGTTTCTCAAATGCAAGCACCAAGTGATTCTTGTGCGATCATAGCTTCCTGGCCAGTGACTGAGGAAGGAGGGCAAAGAAGAGGCCCCTCTCCCAGGATCACCAGCAGGGGCTGTGCCCTGCCCCCTCTACAGCCACAAATACCAGAGGAGCAGGCAGCCAGTGTGAGTTCCCACCTTCCCAGGGGCGCTGGCTCTGGCCCCGCGCTCACCACCCCAACTTCCCCATTGCCCCGGCCCCCACTGCCTCCTCTGGCCCTGGGCATGGGCCACGTGGTGACAGGCTCCATCCTGAGCCACACGATTTTGGGCTCTGGCCACAGGATCAAGCCCCAGCCCCATGGTGGTGGATGCCAGCCGCATGCTCTGTGCCCTTGCCAGATGCTCTTGCTGCTGGTCTTTGGGCTCCAGCCATGTGGCAGCAGGTGCTGGCCACAGGCTCAAACTCCCATCCCCCCAGGCACTCCCTGCCTCCCCCAGTTCCCTATCCATCCCCCCAGACACCCACTGCCTCCCCCAGTTCCTCATCCCCTCTGGGCCCCAGCTGTCTTCCTCCCCACCCAGGGCTTAAATTTTTCCCCCACCTTGCCAGGGCTGAATAAGTCTGTTTCTGGGAAAAGTAATATTTGTATGTTTGTTAATATCATTTTTCATTGCCTCCCAGCTAGCTAGTCTGCTGCTGTGAAAAGTGATATTAAGAAACACAGAAATATCACTTGTCACAGAAACAGACTAGCTAGGAAGTCGAAAAAAAGTAAACGAAAAAGACAAGAACATGCAAAGCACATTATTTGTTTCTATTCTGTTTAGGTCCAGTACAGAATAGACACATTTTTATTATTGAGTCTGCAATATCCTACATAAATACATTACAATGATTTGGACATGTATATGTGCATATTTGTTTGTTTTTCCTAAAGGCAATTAAGTATTTTAGGAAAAATTGTCAGAGGAGCCACCAGCAAAAGTTGGTGACTGCACTCTGAGGCCACCAAAAAAATTTGTCGTGGGAATCCCTGATCTAGGTTGCATTTCCCTAGTTTGTTTATGACAAGGTCATGCGAGACAGTATCAAAAGCCTTACTAAAGTCAATATATACCACATCTACCACTTCTCCCTCTCCCGCCCCATCCACAAGGCTTGTTACCCTGTCAAAAAAAGCTATTAGGTTGATTTGACATGATTTGTTCTTGACAGATCCCTGCTGACTGTTACTTAACACCTTATCTTCTAGATGTCTGCAACTTGATTGTTTAATTATTTGCTCCATTATCTTTCCGGGTATTGAAGTTAAGCTGATTGGTCTGTAGTTCAGACTGAATTCTACTTAACTCAGCTACACTAAACTGGCTGAACAAGAGCAGAAATTTAGACATGAAAAAAGAAGCTGGCATCATAGCATTATAGTTTACTGTAAATCTCTAATACTGCATTTAAAATAAATCAGGCTTAAGATATGCATGTAGGAACTAATCTTTCATCCTTTACTCCTGGTTAATTGCGCACTGAGAAATGTGTGAGAACTCTTGCCTATTTCATTTAAAACTCAATGATTTCTGGAAAAAAATTACTATTTGCCTTTGATATTATTAGCCAGCACAATATATTCCAACTACTTTATTTACTTCGATTCTGCAAGATACCATATCATCCCAATACCACTGGGAGACATATAAATAACTCAGACAGACACATTTGGGAACAAATTCCTATTCGCTGAACTTGAGAGAGCATACAGTGGAAGATATCTTGATTAGAAGTCACTGACATCTCTTAAAATAAGATACTGTGAAATAACTTTATAGTTCTAATTACTTCGCTAGGATCTTATGTTGCTTAAAGATTTCAATATAGTTTAGATTAAATTACAACTTCTGTGACCGACTTACCTGTTCACCCTGCGAGGACACTTATCTGGTTTAATATCCACCTCATAGAGGTAGACATCAATCTTTGGGATTTCAACTTGGAAGCAGTTGGCCAGCAATTTAATAGGTTTGCCCATGGTGCCATAGCCGGGACGTCTGGGCACCATGAGAAGGGGCTGTGCCCCGACGGGTCCTGTAAAAGAAACAATACAGTTTAGAAACTGAACACAATGGTTAAACTATGTGGTGAAGTTACTACTTGGTGCTATTATAGCACAGTTAAAATGCATATGCTCTTTACATTTGTATATATACACTGGTAGAACAACAAAGGAAGTGATGCAATAATAACGGACGAGCAAACAGCCTTCTCAGGACCTTAAACATATCATCTCATACTTCGTGGGGAAGAGGTAAAGCGACTGTAAGAATAAAAATAAGAAATATAATGCAGGAAAAGGCCAAAGTTTAACGTAAGACAGCATCACAAGACCCAGACCAGTGAAAAATGGGCCATGCAACTGTCCCATCAGCTTCCTGGACAAAGCCAAAGGGTTTCAGGGAGCAGCATAGGTCTACCCTCAAGTAACATACAACATGGGATGGCACTCAAAAGCTCTCCTTCTGTTTAAGTCATCAGCTCTCAAAGTAGTGATAGCAAGCAGACCTAGCTCTCCTCTAACCTTCCCATGAAGAAAATGAAGTGAGGAACATTAACTTCTGTGATTGCTGTGACCAAAAGTGTGCGTTTTCTTTTGACCGTTCATTATTGTGGAAAGTCCATTTTAGCCACTATTAAAATGGAAAATTTTAAAAGCTTGTTTACAGACCATCCTAATGGTAATGGACAGAGGTGCAACAGAAATCACAGGATGGTTTATACAGGCCAAGGCTCATGTACTTCCTTTGTTTACACAGTAAAATATGCAGGCACCAATGATATGAAGGGCATGATCCTGGCAGAGATTATCCATTTTCAGCCAGCAGAGCAGAATGAATAACAGTAAAAGCACCAGCTGCAAGATAGTTGCATTTGCCAGAACTCAGTGACCCAGAAGAGACGTGTAGCTGAAGAGTTTCAAGCAATGTCAGTGTGCTTTGTTACTAAACAAACAAATTAAATTACTTAAGCAGCTGTAGGTATTATTTTATAAAACCAACAAAATCTGAAATAGGAGAAGAAAGGTGCTTTCTAAACCTGTACAAATGTATGTCACTAGCTAATTTATTTAGCATTCTAAGTTAATGCTTCTTTGGGTTCTTGAAGCATCTTAGTCTGAAAGATGGACACAGATAAGAGCCTCAGCACAGAAACTGGGATACATATGCCTTGCCCAGAACCAAGCACACAGCTAATATTAAGAACGGACAGTCTCCAAAAATTACGAAAATCTAGGAAATCTTTGCTTGCAGATTATTCTTTCCCGTCAAGAAACGGACTATAAACCCAATCTTATTTTGAGTTGCTTTGGAGTTTTTAAAATTACTCATCATACAAATGTCATGATTTGCAGCATTCAATTAAGTCACTTAAAAACTCTCCCCCCTACTCCTACTCAGTGACGCAGATTGTACAGTTCCTGCCCACTTGCTTTTCTTACAAGAGTTAAAATGTCAAGTGCTGGGGAAAACTGTTATCTGCCATTTGATTAATCTCATATAATCTTCCAGGAATGGTCATTTCCCTTTACTTTGAGGGGAATTGTGTGCTGGGGAACAGAAAAGAACAAGAGTTACAAAACAGAGTTTGTATTGTAAAGGTATGTAGTTCTACACAGAAAGATATATCCAAAACCAAAAAAAAATCAGAAATCTCAACACAAGACTGAAAGTAAAAGCAAAAAACATCAAGCACCACATTAAATGTTCACACAAACTATGTTTTGGCAATTACTGCTCCCAATGCAAAGATTGGGTGGTTTACTTCTGCCTTCAGAGCTGGGCTCCAGGCCAGCAGCCACCACTTTCCAGCTGCCCAGCTCTGAAGGCAGCACCGCCACCAGAAGCAGTGCAGAAGTTAAGGTTAGCAGTACCGTAACACTCCCTACAATAACCTTGTGACCCCACCACCACCACCACCCCACACACACACACACACACCTCCTTTTTGGGTCAGGATCCCTACAATTACATAGAGACTGGGAGTGGCTAAGTCATTATGCAAGGTAGCCTGTTTCCTCTTGTTTTTTCCTACCCCCCCCCCCCCCAGATGTTCTGGTTTAACTTGGATTTAAACTTGGAGAGTGGTCAGTTTAGATGAGCTATTACCAGCAGGAGAGTGAGTTTGTGTGTGTATGGGGGTGGGGGGGATGTGAGAAAACCTGGATCTATGCAGGAAATAGCCCGACTTGATTATGTAAAGAGTTGTCACTTTGGATGGGCTAGCACCAGCAGGAGAGTGAATTTGTGTGGGAGGGTGGAGGGTGAGAAAACCTGGATTTGTGCTGGAAATGGCCCACCTGTTGATCACTTTAGATAAGCTATTACCAGCAGGACAGTGGGGTGGGAGGAGGTATTGTTTCATATTCTCTGTGTGTATATAAAGTCTGCTGCAGTTTCCACGGTATACATCTGATGAAGTGAGCTGTAGCTCACGAAAGCTCATGCTCAAATAAATTGGTTAGTCTCTAAGGTGCCACAAGTCCTCCTTTTCTAATTACAACACTGTGACATTTCATATTTAAAGAACTGAAATCATGAAATTTATGATTTTTAAAATCCTATGACCATGACATTGACCGAAGTGGACATGAATTTGGTAGGGCCCTACCAATAAGAAAGAGCAGCTCTGGAATTAACTGCTCTAGATTCATTTTAGCAACACAGACGTAAACAAGAGCAAAAGATATCTATTAGAAAACATCCAGGTCACACTATTCTATAAAAAAAAATCTTCCATACAAATGACCCAATATCTTACAAAAATATGGTTACAAAGAGCATGCTTTCCATAGCTTATGGAAGGCTCACATACATATGAAGTACTACTGCAGCTGTCAGAATGAGAGTATAGCACCTTCTTAAGGATTAGCTAATCTTGCGAAATCAAAATTAAATGTAAATGGTAAGAGCATTTACCAAAGCACAGCTACTGCACCTCAAATGGCCAACCTGAAGATGCAATTCCTTAACTACAGTCAAGCACTGAGAAAGAGAGGGCAAGGAGGCAGAAAGAGCAAGAAAATATGGTATGGGGGGTTTTCTTGCAACCACACTCTCTGGAAAGTGTTTTGTTAAACCAAATATTTGCGCCAAATACTCCTCCTCCTGCTGCTACCAAGCAATACATTATACTAACTTATGTGGCCACGGCTGAAGGAAATGATGGTACCCCATCCATTTACTTCTTTTGTTCAGGTTAGCAAAATCCTAATGCTCAGCTGCATGAGACGACAAAAAACTAGAAACAAATTAATAAGATTAATAAGATTCAGCTACTCTTCATTAGGCAAGCTGCTGGCCTACACTTTAAAATCTGGAGTGCTGTAAATGGCACACCCAATCCAGAGCTGGTTATAAAAATAGTTTTCCAGCCTCAGCTCCCCTACAAAACAGTACTGAGCAGCAGAAGAAACAAATACCACTACTTTGCCAAATTCCTTCCCTAGATCCACTCATTCAGTTGCATCCCACATTGCACTTCAGAAAATTGTGCATGCCAACTATGCATTCTTCCTGAACAGCAGCATAGCATTACCTGTCTTTGGAATTGACACAAACTGAGGAATGAAGAATCACGACAGATAACGGATTATAAACACAGGTCTGCACAAGTACAAGCTTAATTTAGTGTAACAATTTTAAACAATTGTAGCCAAATTCCAATTATGTTTACCTTCTTTTTGTGTTTGAGACCTAGGTTGTCAGACAAGTCACTTAAAAAATATAACCTTACATGTGTATGCTGTCAGTTAATTCCCATCCACCACTGTCCCAATAAATTTACACATGCTGAGAATGGCTTGCTTTTAAAAATATTTGGATACTTGTTTGTGTATTATAAAATCTGTGTCACTGACTTATAACTTGTGACTCAAATCCCAGTAAAACAACAAGTGAACAAAGTGTTTGGATGATAGCTAACATTCCTATATCACATTAATGAGTCACTTACCCTCATGCCTTAGGATTTTGTAAGGCCAGTGGAAATAAATACGAGAACCAAAAGTATTAGAGTATACGAGTTACTTACTGCTACTACTATAAAGTAGGAGTATGATTTGCAGGGCTAGTTAATGTTAACTCTCCCTCACCAAAAATCGTAAACAAGTCAGTTGAGGTTTTTAAAAACCTCTTTCTAAAAATATTTCAGCACTGCCACAAGTACAAAGCAGAATTCACTCAAGGTCATATAACAAGAAAAAAACCCAAAAACTCCACAAGGGCAAAGCAGTCAATTGTTAAAAATCTTGTAAAAGAAATGAAAGAAAAACAGACTTTGGCGTATAAGCACTATTCCATTTTTCAGACACTGAAAAAATGCCTTATGCAATGTTTATACATTACATAACATGTACTTGAAAATCCCATTAAAAACTTAAGCCAAATGTGGCTAGCCTGGAGGAGGGAGCTGGGGGTGCACAGTGCTTGACAGGTGACAATATTCAGAAAAAAGAAAAGGAGTACTTGTGGCACCTTAAATTTGTTAGTCTCTAAGGTGCCACACGTACTCCTTTTCTTTTTGCGGATACAAACTAACACTGCTACTCTGAAACCTGTCAAATATTCAGAAAGACATCAGAGGACCAGACATTGGGAATCAATTGGTTCAAAGGAGAGGTTTTCGAAGTGTGAGGAACTGACTGGGCCCTCTGAAGGGCTGGGGTCAAGAGGAGGGTCTGTCTGTGTGCTCTCAGCTGCTGGCTCCCATGGGTACCAGATACACTTCCATCTCCCCCCACCTCATTTCTTAGAAAAAAGGGGTGTGGCATGGGACAGGAATCTCCAAAGAGGGGCTCAGAAAAAAAAAGTTGGGGAACCGCTGGAACAGAGAATAGTAAAACTTCAGGTTATGAGCGAAAGTTATGACTGTGACAGACTACTGGAAGGAGTTCTGTCTGCCCACTACCCCACACATACATGCGCACACGCACAGAATGACTTCCAAAGGAAGTAGATGAAACTATAAACATAAAAAGAATTAAGACCAGCAATATGAGAACTTGTTGCTTCTGAGCCCGTAGCCAGTAAGAG